AGTGGGACAGAACCAGAGCTACAGTGCCAAGTGCCCCTTCTGACACCCCCAGGCTTTCTGACTTGGGGGCAGCTGGTGAGCTTGTTGCTGTTTCAGACATGGTACTGAGAAAGGGAAGGCTGCCAGGTTCCAAAGAGGTTGGATCTGGCATTTCAGGAGGAATCCAAGCCCCATTTGTGGGGATAGCACCTACTTCAGGGAGAGAATGTCCTGATTGTCCTGTCCTTCTCTGTCCCACCCTACACTGGCACTACTGAACACTGGCCATCGCTTTATCTGTTCCCTCCTCTCTTGGCAAGGACCAGTGGGATTTCAGTGCAGTCTCAATGAGCTCACAGAGCATAGCTTTTCTTGGGTTCTAGGTAGGTGCTAACAGATTGTTTCCATCAAGCGTGGATCCCTGCCCTTGGAAGTCCGAGTCCTGTTTCCTAGTGCATTTCTGAGACATTTTAAATTAGTGCCCATATGGGGGTTTTAATTTATGTGTATGTGTGTGTTTCTTTGTGCCTGTTGTGTCTTTGTTCTATACCTGCTTGCCACCTAAGCGGTGGTCCCCAGGCTGGCAGCATCGGGATACCTGAGAGCTTGAGACATATGGTAGCTCGGGCCCCATCCATGACCCACTGCCTCCAAATCTGCATTTAAGGTTCTGGTGCACATTAGTATTTAACAGCCTATCATGCCTGTTTGTAGATGCTCAGGAGATGTAGGCAAGAAGGTCTGTACCAAGAAAATGGGTGCATTTGTATTACAGTTCTGGATGTTTATAGGCACGCTTGTGCGTCTCTGTATGTAAGTGTGATATGTCTCTTGTTCAAAGGTGGGCAAAATTTCTGAGGGCTGACTGTCTCCAAGCACCCCCATAAGCACCTAACACGATCATTTATATCCTCTGTCTCATTTGATTTTCATAAAGGCTTTGAAGGGAGTGGACAGAGAGAATGATTTGTGTTGACAGCCTTAAAAATATCTAAACACTTTGACCCAGTACATTCCACTTCTAGACATCGGTCCTAGCAGAAAAATCTGAAATAAAGACAAAAATGATTCACGTACAAAGATTGACATAGGCATGTAATCTACAATAGAAATCAAGGACTGGAACAAAGTGTTTGTCCTGTGGAGTTATAGAAATGATGACATAGCCTTGAAATGAGCAACCATGTGGCCATTAGCTGAGTTCAGCTGAACCAGACTTTTCCTGTCCATCCAAGTATGTGCTGTGCAAACGTTCATAGAGCAGATGGACATGACCTCTGCTGTCATGAAGATCAAGACACTTATGAAGTTTGTATAACACTGGGAGATTGTGTTATAATGTAAACCAAAAAAAAAAAAATCTAAAATTGTATATCAAGGGCACTTGGATGGCTCAGTTCATTAAGTATCCAGTTCTTGGTTTTGGCTCAGGTCATGATCTCAGGGTCATGAGATCAAGCCCTGCTTGGACTCATGGGCTGGGTGTGGAGCCTGCTTGAGATTCTCTCTCTCTCTTTCTCTCCCTCTACCCCTCCCTCCTCTAAAAAATTAAAGAAATATTTGAAATTGTATATCAGGTTTAATCACAATCAAGGAAAAATGCACTTGAATCAGAAAGAACAAGGCACACCTTCCCCCCCAGACAGGGATGCATGAGAGGTCCCATCGCTCCACATCCTCACCAGCACTTGCTGTGGTCAGTGTCCCAGATTTCAGCCATGCTTACAGGTGTCTAGAGTATCCCATTTTTATTTGCATTCCCCTGACGCCATAGGATGTGGAGGATCTTTTCTTGTGCTTATTTGCCATCTGTATATGGTCTTTGGTGACATGTCTGTTCAGGTCTTTGGCCTATTTTTTAACTGAGTTGTTTTCTTGTTGATTTTTAAAGAGTTCTTTGTATATTTTGGGTAAACGTCTTTATTGGATGGTCTTTTTTACTATCTTCTTTAGGTCAGATGCTCTGGGAAATGGGTCCGAGGCAGTGATTTATGTGCAAGAGGTTTCCTGGGGAGTATTCGGAGAGGAACAGCCGTGAGAGTTACAAGAGGCTGGTTGTGTAGGAGAAGCGGATGTGGGACACAGTTACAACAAAGCCTCGGCCAATTCCACCAAGACCTCGGGAGTGGCAGGGCCCCTTCAAGAGATGTCCCTAATTGAACTGGGGAGCTTGGCCTTTGTGCCCCAACATCCACCAGTCAGCGGATACAGGTTCCCCAGGTTGCCCGGGAAGGGGGTGTCCCTCAGACATAGCACCTCCCTCTGGTCGGGGAAATTCCCAGGGATGGACTCAGCTGTGAGCGTCAGCCGCCAAGCCTCTCAGTGCCCGAAGGCCTGGGTGCCTCAGTCCTGTGGGAGGATCTGGACAGCACACCAGAGCAACCACTATAGCATCTGAAAAACATAAACCTGAAAATAAAGAAAAAGAATGCAGGGCTTTGAGTCCCACCACTGACTTGTTATAAGGATCTTGGGCACATTGTCTCCTTGGACCTCAGTTTCCCCATCTGTACTCTAAGAAGTTGTTACTAGACCGATGGTCTCTGACTTTCTAGTTGTGGCTGACTGGGTCACTCCGGAGTCACAATCAGCAGGCAAGCAGGTGCTCTGGAAGGTGGTTGCAGCCACCAGAGAAGATGAAGCTAAGGCAAGGCCAAGAGATGGAGGGAGTTCATGGACTTCAGGGAGTTCCTAGAACAGGATGAGGTTTTCCTTCCAGGGCTTTCCTTCAAAAGTAACCTCTGAGTCATTAGTTTGTAAAACAGCAGAACAAAGTGGGACACTGGAAGTCGGCTGAACCATCGCTTCATTACACAAATGAGAGGTCATGCCCAGTGTCAACGCTGAATCAACAGCCAAGCTGGGGACAACCACTGTTCCTGAAGGTTGGCCAGGTGATTTCCCAATGCCCCTGCGGCCTGTACTTCGAGAGACTGAGTCAAGCTAACTTCCACAAAGGGAGATCTATTTGAAAAGAGTCAGGATGAGAGAGTATTTTCTCCATCCTTTTCTTAAGAATGGAAAAAACCAAGGGACAGGCAAGAAGTGACTTGTGTACAGAGCTGTCAGTCAGTGTAGGTCAAGTTCAAAATGTAGCCAGAGTCGGGGAGGGCCAGATGCTCTCTTAACACAATAAGGTCAGAATGAATAGACCCCATGTAATAAGATCAGATTCATAAAAACCCTGAGAGACTTGCAGGGAAAGATTAATCTTGTGGTCCAGATATTGGAGTTCAGATAAGCTGGCTGAGAGTAAGCTTGAGCCAGAGTGGAAGACTGCCACCTTTTCCCTTTAACCACCATCCAAAAGATTGCTTTCTCCCTCCCCTCTTCCAGACCATCACTGCACCACCACACAGAATCCACAGACACTGAAATTTGAGTCCCCCACAGCCCCACCAAAAGCCAGAAGTGCAGATAATGTACTGATATGCGGTATTCCTGTAGTGAAGGGCTGGCACATTCCAGGAAAAGGGGAAGTAGAGGTACAGGGAAGGGAGTTGCATAATGAAGGAAAAAGATTCAAAGAGAAGGGGGAGAGCTGGGAAGGAAGGAACATCTAGGGAATCTTCCAGAGTTCTGGAATGATCTGCAGGGATACCCCAAAGGCCTGGCACCCAGAGCAGGGGCAGGGACATCACTGTGCAGTCTAAGAGAGCAAGGAGGTGAGAACCAGCCTCTCCTCCAGCAGCTCTGGCGGAGCTACAGATGGAAATGCCTGGGTGAGAAGGTCTAACCCTGGTCAGGGTCTATTGCACATAAACTAGCATCAGGGAACTTTTTCACCTGCAACTGACCATCTGGCCAGAGAGAGGAAAACTGAGGTTTCAGAATCTTCTCACTTTATTTCCCACCCCCAACCCCACCCAGAGATGGACTAGAAACCTTGTCATAGGGAATCCATGATGAAATGAGGCATCATGAAGAACCCAAAGGCAAGAAATGGAGCAAGGCCATCAACTGGGCTGACATTGGACTCCAAACAGTGGTCAGGAACTGTACCATTCATGTCACACACGATTTCCAAATCTCAGTGCCTTAACTCAGTACACATGGGTTGTTTTGTTTATGGCATAGTCCCCAGCAAGTGCAGAGGATGGCTGGGACCCACCCAGAAATTCAGAACCTGAGGCTCCTTCCTCCAGGTCCTTGATGTCCTCTCCATGGCACCCGCAGATGCTGAGGGAGTTTTATAGGCCAGATCTAGAATGGAACACATCACTCCCACTCCCATTTCACTGACCAGAGCGTACAACCAACTACACTCAGTTGAAAAGGGAGGTGAACAACTCAGCCTAGCCACATGCCCAGGGAAAAGCAGACACCACGGGTACTGGTGATCAGGGAAAAGCAGACACCATGGGTACTGGTACTGGTACTGGTGATCAGGGAAAAACAGACACCACGGGTACTGGTGATCGCTAAGATTAGTTATCTTTAATGCCATCTGTCTCTCACTGCAGGATCTTTCCTTGGAGTAGTTCAGTTTTTCCAGATGAGGAGCCTCTCATTCTCTACCTGATGGATTTAACCCTGACTCAGGGATCCCTGCAGCCAGGTTGGGAGTGCAGGTGAGGTGCCGGGGGACCTCACCATTCTCAAGCAGCTTTTCACCTCTTCCTGTCACCAGGTGACAGTCTTCGGGCTCGTCAGTTCACACGATATGCCTCTCATCCTCAACTGCACGGACTTCATACTGCTATTCTGCAAAACTGAGGCTCAGTGGGACAAAGTCCCACAAATGTGTCCCAAATTACAGAGCCAGTACTCTACAGACTCAGGATTCAAAACCGTATCTGCTTGGCTCTGAAATGTTCTTTTTTTCCACTTCCTAGCTTAGGAGAGAAACCCCATACATGCACACATGTCATTCTTCACCCACCCCTCCTATCCTAGACCAGATGCAATGAATCAAGGAAGATGGAAATGCAGAGAAAACATTGGGTCTTTATTTATTCACTAACAAACTGTCATTTCCTCCCGTGTGCCAAGCCTCACGTGGGACGCTGGGCATGCACGGATAAAACAGACCCAACCTTAGCACCCTGGAGGTGTTCGTCACGGAGCCACACCTGCATCAAGACACTTTCATTTTTCTTGGGCTTGGGGAACAAAGGAATCCTCAGACCACACGTACCGGGAAGTCCTAATCTTGTTGAACTGGCAAGAATACATCTGCGGAAAGAAAATAAAACAGAGCCTCACCAGAGGAACAATCCCAGGGACCTTTACTTTCCTCCCAGCCAGAGGGTCCCCTGTCAGTGGGCCCTACATCCCTTGGGATAAGAAGAGAGAGAACACGGGGCTAGAATAGTCAAAACAGTACTGGAGTTTCCTGCGGTTCCAGACAACCTAGCCAATCAAGGCCATCACCACAGCAACACTCTCCCCATGCACACAGCACTTTGCTTTTACATTTAGTATCTCGGTGGATATACTTGTGTCCATTTTACAGCTGGGGACACGGAGGCTAAGGAAGGTGCAGTCAGTTGCTCATAGTCCCACATGGCTCAGAGGCAGAGGTGATGTGAAAAGATAAAATTCTCGCCTCTTATATCATGGTTCCTTTCTTCTGGCCCTCCCAGGGCCCAGCACTAGCAGTCACTCACACCTGACCCTGGGAAACACTTGCTTAGGAAACTGGTGGTGAATGGTGTTGACGGACAGTGGATCTACTTGGGTGGGGGACAAGTAGTGTAAAGGGAGATTCCAAGCAACTTCCTCATTCACACAGCGTGGCACCCTGATAGGACACTGGGGATGTGGCTCTGTACCACTGGCTCAACACAGGAATTCCCACACACCCCCTTGCAGCACTTGAGACTGTGAAGGCAGTGGCCGTCATTCAGGCAGAAGTCCCTGGGGTTGGGCCTCTTGCACTGGTCAGTGACCACTGGACATTTCCCAGGATTGACCTTAACTGGTGAGAATGGGAACACAACTCAGAGGCTTACCCCCTAGACAGCACCCCACCTCCTACCCCATCTCTAACTCGTACGTGCCAATCACTTCCTCTCTACCTTGCAGCCAAACTGAGGCCAGTGTGTGTCCTGATGGAGCGCATGTTCCACTAAGGGGACCCCAACCAGTGTTATAAGTGTCCAACAGACAGAGTGACTCAGTAGCTGAATGAGTGGCTAACTCATTGACTAGCTCACCAGTTCATGGACTGACTCACCGAGAACAGGAGTCAGTCAACCGTGGTTCGGCCCCACCCTCCAGCCCAGTTTTGGGGATCTCCCGCTACTTCTCCAAGATATGTGTCCTTAAGCTAAAATCTCCCTGGTCCCCTCTTCCCGGGCTGTGTTGCCTCACCGGGCTTTGATGGGTCTACAGGATCCACACATTTGATGCCACAATATTCACGACAGCATTTCTGCTCCTTTGGACACTGCCAGTCGCTCTGGCACTGAGGGGGTTCAAACACAAGGCACATCACAGGAGGTGTGAAGGGGCAGGCTCCGTGCTTGGCTTTTTCTAAGGGTGAGAACAAGGGAGGAAGAGGAAGCTGATTCTGAGTCACAACCACAATCCTGGACAAGGAACCAGCTTCCCAGGAGGGGAGAAAAACCGAACTTGGGCAGCCGACCCCAAAGGAAGAAAGGGAGCTGTTGGGGTCCCAGGCTGAAGGCAGGTGTGGGGCGGTGCTGGGCTCAGCCAGCCACTCAACCAAGAGGGAGTCAATGCAAGAAAGAAGGTATAGATGGTGGGGTGCTGGCAAACGTTTTTAGAGAAGCCTTTGGGCATTTGCCAATTTCCGTGGTGTAAATATCGCCACTGTGGCTGATTCCAGGCTACCAACGTGATGTTCACTGGCTCTCAAAAGTCTTGAGAGTGTGACCTTCAGCTGTTGTGAATAGTATAAGCCAGCTCCAGTACATGGTTGGACAGAGCTCATGGTCAGGTGCTCCTGGCCCACCGTTCACTGTGAAGGAGGTGGAGAGGGACCTCGGTAGTAGGAGAGGCAACTCATCAGGACAGATTGCAGATCAACTGGCAAGTAAATTGAGACAGAGTGACCATTAAAAAAGAAACAGTAAGAGTAAAAGAGAACATTTTGGAAAATGAAACAGAGACCCAAATAATGTGATGGAGCAAAGACCAGAGAAGGAGTTGCAGAGAGACAATGACAAGCGATACAGGGGCTGGGATTATCGGGTCCACTGGGGAAAGGTGGGTTTCTGGATGCTCAGGAACTCTTAGCTGAAGTCCTCAGAGAGGTGCCTGAAATTAGGGGCCATGGGCCAGACCATGGGAAAGGTGACTTCAAGGTCAGCTCCTGGACTAAGAAGAAGAAGGTACCACCACGCTGAGCCATCAGGGACCCTGGTATGTCCAGAGAGACTCCAACTCACCTTTGCTAGCATCTTCCACAGCCCAGGATGTGAGGATTTGGAGGGCAAGGAGCACCATGAAGGGGAGGATGCTGCCGGGTTTCATCGTCACAGCAGGTAGGGGTTGGTGGCCAGTGCCAGCCTTTCCCTTTATACCTTCCACGGAGGGTGTGGTTCCTATAGATGTGCCTTGGGCCCTCCCCGCTGTTCTGTCCTAAGCCGGAAATTCAGGGGAGGACAGTAACTCCACCACCCAGAGTATTGATGGCAGGAGCCTGGGGAGGGACGCATGGAACTTGGAGGGGGAGGTGTCCGCAGGCTCATCAGGAGACCATTCTGGAAGCACCTGCCTTGGGCCTTTGCGGTGGAGTTGGCCAGGGTTCTGGAGGGGAATGTACAGGCCAGAACTGGAAGTCATTACAAAGGAGCCTCTCTGTGTGCCTTGACCTTCCCACACTCCTGGACTGGCTGCCAATTACCCAGGGTCACTCCCTCTCCCAGACTTCAGGTGACGCCTTCGCCTGCCGACACTGGACTTTTGTCCACATAATACCCAGAGTTCTGGGCACTCTGACAATCCCACAGGTCTTTCTCAAAGAGCCTGAATGGCATGACTGGTGATAGGGGAGAGCAACCCAAACCACTTGGGGCCTCCAACTTCCCAGCTGTGAGGTGGGGGTAGCGCTACCTGCCCGGGTCATTGAGCAGGATCAGAGAGAAAGGGGGTGGAAGGGCATTGAACAGAGTGAACACACACCCCTTAGTGACGGGTGGAAGTGAAGTGAATGCGAAGCCACATCTGAGCCCGTTTCTTTGAAATGAACTGATAGGACTCTTCCCAGCAGTCAGCTGGACGGCTGGATAAGCAAGGAGTGCAAGGAGTGCTGTTTGATGTGCTCAAAAAGTTTTCCCACACCCCAAGTTACCCCCACTGTGCTTTCATAATTATAACAAAGGTTTTCATTAACTGAGCATTGGCTATGTGGCAAGAAGTTCAAGTGGAACATTTCCAAATATCAAAAGGAAGCCCATTAAGGTGTAACCAAGAAAAAAAATGCAGGGGATAGAGAAGCCAGGATGCAGGGGAAAAATTAAGGGAGCCACCACAATGTGGTGACAGAAGGTCTGAGAGTGACAGCAGAGTGCCAGAAACACAGGGGGGCCAGTTCAGACCGGAAAGGGCCCCAGGGCTCCAGGAAATTCATCTTCTGAAAGGTGAAGTTAACAGCACATTTGGCACATACGAACATGGGGAGGAGGTTTTGACAACACAATAAAGAGTTTATGGTTGAAAAGTGATATGTACGTAGAAAACCAAGCAAACATAAAACCTGACAATTTTTCATGACAAAAAAAATAAAAAGTTGTGCCAGAAAGGAAAAGTAGTTTGGTTTATGACCTAGTTCAGCTGTGACGAGGGTCCACAGATTCATAATAAGGTAACTAAGAGTCCCGATCTCACCAAATTATCACAGAACTCTCTCTTTCAAATAAAAAAAATAAATAAATACAGCTTTTTAAAAAATGGGCTGCCTGGGTGGCTCAGTCCGTTGAACATCTGACTTGATTTCGGCTCAGGTCATGGTCCTGGAGCCCCGGGATGGAGCCCTGCATTGGGTTCCATGCTCGGTGGAAAGTCTGCTTCTCCCTCTCCTTCTGCCCCTCCCCTCACTCATACTCTCTGTCTAAAATAAATAAATTAATATAAGAAAACCTGTCACATAACTAATGGGAGGGAGGGCATGGAAGTGTGAGGCTTGGTAAGCTGTTTGTCACAAGTTTTGTGAGATTATGTGACTCTTGAGTTTATCTGCATGTATCATTTTGATAAAAATAAAGATATTTAAAAAGAAAGCCTATTATCTCACTTAGCTTATCATGAAGATGTACAATCATCCAGGTAAAGCACTAAGCATTATTCCCCTCTCAGTAGGATCCCTGAGGACATAAGATTCTCTCTCCCATTTGGGAGCCCCTCCCCTGTTTCCCTGCCCTTGGCACTCTCTTCATAATGATCACTGAGAATGGTCAGTGCCAGTTCATGAAGATGCTTCTCCATGAGAACATAAGGTCCTAAATAGGACAGACTGTGTGTACATGGTCTGTAAAAGTCACCCAATTTAGTGTGCGGTTCTGAGTTGTCACAAAGGCGTGCAGCCCCCCAACCACCACCTCAACCAAGAGAGAGAACCGTTCCATCCCCCTCTTGAAATTCTCATGCACCCTTTGGAGTCGATCCTGTGATCCACCTTCAGCCCTTGGCAACAATCGATGTGTTTCCTGTCCCTATATATTTTGCCTTTTTGAGAGTGTTCTATGAGTGGGATCGAACAGGCCATGACCTGTTGAACCTTCTTACACTTAGCAGAACGTCTATATTCCCAGGAGTTTGTTCTGTGGCTCAGCAATAAGTTATGGTGTCTAAATGGGGTTTCTCTTGATCAGATGGTGGCCCCCAAATGTGGGGTGATAAGCAGGTGGAAGCTGATGGTACGGTGGTGAAAGAATTCACCCATAGCTGAGCAAAGGAGATAGAAGAGTACTGAATTACACCACAAGGTATCAGTGGGCAGGACAGCAGAGGAGAGACCGTCTGGCACTGGATAGTGGTGGGGGCTGCTTTTAAAGGAGGGGAAGATGAAGAAGTATGGCCATGTATGGAATCTTCCATCTTTTGATAACTGTGTCTGGTTGTAAGTAACGCATTGTTTACTCAGGGTCTATGGATATTCTGAGGTGGGTTGCCTGATGGGTCTGTCTGGATTCCACTGCTCAAGCCTGTTTGCTTAAAAGGGGCCTTTGCGGAGACGTCCTGGTTTGTTTATGCATTCCCCAGTTGGAGGATTTGGGTGGTGCTCCCAGTTTTTCGTGATTATGAATTAAACTGTTATAAGTGTTTATGTATAGGTTTTTGTGTGCATGTGGTTGACATTTCTTTTGGGTAGTATCTAGTGTAGGACTGATAGATAAGGTGGTAACATACATTAACTCTAATAAACTGCCAAATAATGTCCAGAGTAGCTGTACCATTTTGCATTTCCATCAGCAGGGGATTCTCATCAGAGCTCTAATTGATGTGCATTAGCAACAACACTTGGTATTGATGTTGTGTGTGGTATGTGTATGTGTGGTGTGTCTGTTTGCTTGCTTTTGGCCATCCTAATAAATACATAGTGTATAAAATGATTATCTTCATGTGCTTATTTGCCACTGTATATATTCTTCTGTGAATTGTCTGTTCAGACCTTTTACCCATTTTTATTGGGTTGTTCATTTTCTTGTTATTGATTTTTGAAGTTCTTTATATATTCTAGATACAAATACTTTATCAGATCTGCATTTGGCCAATAGTTTTCCAATTGGTAGCCTGTCCTTATTTTCTTTTTTTTTTTTCAAAGATTTTATTTATTTGTCAGAGAGAGAGGGAAAGAGAGCGAGCACAGGCAGACAGAATGGCAGGCAGAGGCAGAGAGAGAAGCAGGCTCCCCGCTGAGCAAGGAGCCCGATGTGGGACTTGATCCCAGGACGCTGGGATCATGACCCGAGCTGAAGGCAGCCGCTTAACCAACTGAGCCACCCAGGCGTCCCGCCTGTCCTTATTTTCTTAACAGTGGTTTTCAAAGAGCAGTTTTTAATTTTGATGGGATCCCACTCATCATTTTCTTCTTCATCATGTTTCTGGTGTCATATTTGAGAAATCTTTGCATAGCCCAAAGTCACAAAGATTTTTCTCCTTACATTTCTTTCTATAGTTCTAATTCTTGCAATTATGTCTGTGATTGATTTTGAGTTAGTTTTTATAAATGATGTGAAGTATGGATCAAGGTTCATATTTTATGTATGGATGTTCAGTTGTTCTGGTATCATTTGCTGAAAAGACAATTCTTTTCTCCAGTGAATTCTCTTCGTACTTTTGCCAAAGTCAGTTGATTCTATGTGCATGAATCTCTTTTCACACTCCCCACTGATCTACCTGTCTGTCCTTTGGCCAATAGCACAATGCCTTCATTACAGTATTGCTATGGGCTGAATGTTTGCTTTTCCTCAAAATCCCTCAGTTGGAGCCCCAATCCCAGTTGTGGTGGTATTAGGAAGTGAAGCCTTTGAGAGATGCTTAGGTCATGAGGGTGAACCTTCTTGAATGGTATTAGTGCTGTTATAAGAAGAGATATGAGAGAGATTATCTCTCCCACTCTTGCTCTCTCTGCCATGTGAGGACATAGTAAGGAGGTGTCCATCTACAAACGAGTAAGAGGGCTCTTGCCAGATGTCAAATCAACCAGTGCCATGATTTTGGACTTCCCAGGCTCCAGAACTGTATGAAATAAATTTCTGTTGCTTAAGTCACCCAGTCGGTGATATTTTCTTATAATAGTCTGAGCAGATTAAGACACAGAGGTTTATAACAAATCTTGATTCCAGCCCAAATTATTGTGGCTGTGGTTTACCATTAGGCTTTATCGCTGACTCTGGCTGTGCCCTGTCCATAATCTCAGGGTGCTCACCATCCCAGTACCTGCCAGTGTCCTTTAATAGAAACACCTGGGCTACCCTGCCTGAGGATTTTCTCTCAGCCCAATTCAGGGGAACTAAATGCCAGCCAGTGACAGATGGGAGCTGGAGGATAAATACCCCAATTTTTCACCCTGGATGGGAAATTCCAAGGCAGATTCTATACTACCTTCCAGAATTTTCCAATGGTATTGAGCTCCAATTGCCCATACCAGCAATATTCTCAGTACTGCACCCTTTTCAGTTTCCTTCCACCTGGTCTCACAAACCTATTCTCTAAATAGTGTTCCTTCGATCAACTCCCAAGTAAATTACTTGTCCTCAAACTATTGCCCCAGGGTCTTGCTTCCAGGAGAACTTAACCAAAAAGATATATCCCAGCACCCAGCTCAATGACTGGCACGTAGACTGCAACTGTTGTCAGAGAAAGACAGTATCTCTCTGTTTAGTTCAGGAACCTGACGCAGTACATGGTGAATGAATGAAACAATGAATAATTCACTGAATGAACTAAAGAAGGAAGCCAGGAAGAGCCATTAGCTAAGTTTTGATCCCGCCTTCCTGATTCATGGTAGTCCTTGGGGACACGCATTC